TTCAAACTAGCGACCTGAGACGCCACCCACCTGTCACTCAAAGCGGCCACGCCCTCAATTATACCTAACTTTAACTTCTAAATAACTAAAAACGGGTAAGTTAAATTCACCCCTCGTACAATTGTCATCAACGGGGAAATTAGCGATGAAGACCAAAGCAAGTTTTTGTATTCTGCTGTAAAGTTGGGCATTTTACCAGGGGGTCTAAGGGGGTCGTTTTTGAGCCCAGCCTAAAGTGTCCATATGAAGAAATGCAGTTTTTGTCACTTAAAATCTTTCAAATTAAACAATTCATGGAGGAAATGTAACGTTTTGGACTTCATTTGAATTTACAACCAGATGTGAGAGGTTGTAAGTAGAGAGTTAACATGTTCACAAAAGGTTTATAAATTTAGAGACAACTCCGTCAGAGGTGGGCCAACTAAAATTGAGGAAACAGTCGGGGTAAACTCTCGGTGAACTCGGTGGGAATTTTTATGTCAAATTTTCACATGTCACATTACAACAATAGGAGTCAGACTGAAGAAAGCTGCTAATCATCTGATATTACAGACACACCAGACTGTTTAAGAAAGTGTGTCTTTGGAATGTAAATGTAGCCTATCAATACTGTATTTAAATACATACTGTATGTATGCAAATAAAACAAGGTGATCATATATTTGCATATTTATTTGATCTTAAATGGAAACAGTTTGCACGACTTTAGAATGGAGAGGAGAGATTTGCATATCACTGTCGCTGTTAACAAAGATCCAAGAGGATTACATCCCATTTGCACCTTGTCTTTGGGATCAGACAGCAATTTGCTGCCGTGGGAGATGGCAAGTCTTGCTGCACTGCACATGTGGGCAGCGAATGAGAGGAAAGTTTGCTCACCTCTCCATCATAATCTCTTGTTCATCAATGTGATCTATTTTCTGCCCCTTTCGTGCCTTTGCACCGGACTGCAAACTCTGACAAAGTGCCTGGGTGCGTGTTCTTTAATGATGATAGATGAGAGTTATCCTGAGGATGTTGTCAGATCAAGGGATGTACCGTGGGCGTTATTCTGGGTGGTGACACGAGGAGAGTAAATAAAAAACATCATATCTTGTCAGTTATTCGAATGGATTATTTACGTTGTGATGGAGCGCTGCTCTCAACACGTCGGAAAACAATTGAAATAAGCCCAAGGTGCTTTACCTCTGTTAAATTAGATTTAACATTGATCGTTTCAACCCCCTGTTTTGAATGCGTTAATCTATAATTGGGGGTGTCACGACTTAAGCCATTACCAGCAGAAGGGCTCAAAGTAGATCAAGTTTTCCAGCTGTAGAGAAATGTAAGTAAGTAATGTATCCTCATTTTCAGGCAGTTATATGATGATAGTTGCCTGTGATTTATACAAAATACGGTGCGGTGATTTTTTTTTGTGCATTTTCAGACCTCTATGCCGCTGCGGTAATGAAGAATAATTCACAAATCCTCCAATACACACACTGCTGAAAATGGATTTCATTGTGGGTGAATCTAGCTGTTGTTCAAATTGTATTGTTTTGACACAGTGCGTTTTGCAACAGCAGTTTCTCAAACTGACACAGAATAAAGAAGGGTTGCGGCCTCCTCCTGCTTAATTATAGCGCCGTGAGAAAAGCAGCAGATGCCAACAAAAGACATCAAAACAGTGATTTGCATGAAGAGTCTAATTTCAAAGTGAGTCGAAAATCTATACTTTGGCGTGCTGATATTTTCGGCGTGCTGAATGTGTTTTCACGGAGGAAAAAGGTTAATCCAATTTCCACAAGATATTAGACTCATGTCAATTGGTTTCGCCGTTTCCTGCTGCATGATAACATGAGAAAAACATCATTCAGAACGAAGTGACATCTTACACACTTTAATAAAGAGTGATACATTGATGCTCTCTATTTCACATACAAAACCGTAAACTCTGCATCGCTGCTCACAATCAATCATTTATAAAATACCTTGCTTTGGGCTGGTTAATTATTATCAAACATTATGGTATTGATTTATTCTATATAGAAAACACTGGGTAGTTTTATAACCTGAGGTAACTCTTTACAAAGCCTTTGCCAAACTTAAGGGAAGGAGAACTCTTTTATCAGCATTTTCCAAAGTATAAGCACTAATTAAATTACATATTTATTTATTTACTCACTTATTTTTTTTTTTTTTTGCTGCATTCTTACTTTTCTATCAAATGCATTTGAACTTTTTTGTTTTCTGTGTTCATATTGCTGTAATTGCCTGCAATTAGAGTAAGCCTGATAAACCTAATTTGTTTTTTACTTGCGACTTGACAACTTTGTCTCTGTAAAAAAGAAATAAGAAATATGATTGTTTCACAATCTTTTAGTTTGTGCAGGAAGCAATCCAATCAAAATGCTTTAAACATGATAATCGGTGCATCTTTGAAGACTAAACAGCAGAAACATTACAATTTGTCCTTCAAAATGTCTCACACTTTTCTCACACTATCACTTTCCATAGGCCTATTTGCATTATTGCTTTCAAAGACCTGTGGTGTGTCTTTGTGGTAGCAAAGTGTCATCGCGATTACAAATGTTTTTCTCAATACAAACGACTCTACAAAGCAGATACATTTGCACTAACAAGGACATATGAAGACAATAACACATGGATAAAGCAGACGATAGAGAGTTGTGAATCTGAATTAGCCCTGTGTTGCACTCTGTTCTGAGCAGTCTTTCTACATAAAACTGCTTGTTAGAGGGGAAACTAATGAAAGTATTGTCACCTGGACCTCACATGTAATACGATGTCAAACTCATTTCCTGCACTCTGTTCCCAACCAAAAAGAAACCACAATCACATTCTTAAAGAATATGATGATAATGAATAATCTCATACCCAAAATCATCAGCTTGTGTGTAATTTAACATCACCCACTAAAAGCCTCTGTTTCAAACCGTCCACACTAAGGATCTGCTTATTTCACAAAACATTATTATTTTTTTTTTTACATTTTCTTATTTGAATTTCTAGGTGAAAAACACAAGGTTTTGTTAATGATGATGCTGTGGTTATTAACTTTCTATTTCGACCCCATTGCCAAATGACTGTGGCTGATACAGGCGATCTCTGCTTACCCGAGTATTGCTGAAGTCAGACACTCCCCTTGTGCAGAGAAGCATCCTGCAGGACTGCCAGTTCAAAGCAAGAAAAAAATCAATTACCTCTTACGGTGCCACATTATGTAAACCCCAGCCATCTGAAAACGATCAGAATCAATATCTGCAGCGTTTAGCAGCCATGCCTGGCGTGTGGTGATGTCTCTCAAACATGCTTTGATATGGCGTCTGTACAGCCATGTGATTTTCTTTTACCTGTTTCTACCCCTGCACAAACACACATACAGTTATGTTGCATTGAACACAGCAGTGGGCATTAATTATAATTAAAAAATATTGAAGCATAAAGTGCTTCAAAGAGAAGGATATTTTAAGTAACATTTTTAAATGAACTGCAGAGAAGATCTCAGAGTTTAACGATGGCAATAAATTACTCTTGACTCGTTAGACCACAAATAAGATCAGTGCTACTATCAGTAAGTTCAGCCCTACCCGGTGATTACTGTAATAGATGAGAAAACCAATTTAGCCAGGGTATATCAAGTTACATAACATATTTGTGCTCACATTATACCTTTTGTTTTAGAGCCACACAATTAACTCTGTAGTGGCTACACCTGACATTGATGAAGCTGTTAAAGGGCTGCAAAAGCCACAACAAGTCAAATCTTTGTCATTCATCACAGAACTTTTGCCTGTTGGGACAACAATGTGGAAAAACAATAGGTAGAAAAGTAACAACACAGTAAACTGCTTGGATGTCTTCTTTCTTTCCTTTTTTTACCCCCCACAAAGGCATTTATGAAAACACGTCATAAAGAATATAAAGCAACGCTCTTTGACGAGAGGTGAAGACTTTTACCACAAGCCGCCCACACGTGGCACCGGTTCTTGCTAAGTTTATGTCACGTGAGAGAACAGCAGTTGAACAGCTGTCTTTGTGTGCCCACATAGAGACCTAGAATGTGAAGCACAAATTATGTGACATTCAACGCTTGAGATGCCCTTGATATACGGCGGCTCGATAAATAATTGCCTCACCGTTGGATTAATGGAGCAGAGAGCTTCCCTTCCCTGTATAATTATTTAGAGTGTAAAGCAAATTCCCTTGAATACCTACTGTATGTCCAACCACAAATTCCTGTGAGGAATATTAATGCTATGCCCCGTTCACAAGTTCATCAAACCATCTATTGTATGTATTCTCAATCCGTGTTCACAGCAGCCCAGGGTGTTTTTCTGCCGTTCATCAGAGGGGCTGTTTTCCCTATTGAGATAAGAAATTAAATCTGCAAGAGCAGAGGATGCTGGGTTTGCTGCAGGGTGGCGAAGCAGTAGCTCTGATAATGGAGCCGACTCCCATTGCGCAGGCTATGAGGCAAACAGCCATGGCGCCAGCCCAACCCTGCCTATGTGAGAGGATAGCTAACAGTGTCACTCTGCGGAAGCTCTCTCTCTGCATGTGAACATGTGGTTAAGTCTGCGTGTGACAGAGAGCGGAGGAAAAGAATGAGATGCTGAATGTGTGGGAGGAAAGGGGAAGAAAATGGGTAGAACTGCAGGGTGTGCCTTTGCGGTTGATGTGGTGAGAATATGCATGCATGGAGAGTCAAACACACTGACCCATGCGGAATAAAAACTGAAGGGCGAATTCACAAAAGGATTGCGCAGATTTTGCGGCTGCTAAACCGGGACAAATAAGACAAAAAGGAAGCCGTGTACAATCCATGGTGCTATCAGTGGCCGCAAATTCACCAGAGAGTGATAAATAGCCTCAAAGCCTCTCACTCCTATCCCCTTTGCCCCATCCGTTTCTGCTCATGTTCTCAGCCTGGATGGGATATGTGTGGTAGTATATTATGTAAATGTGAAGAGGGTTTTAATTTCAATTTGGGAACTCACCAGAATATTGAGTCGTTTTGGATGCTCCTCACGGGGTTCACTTCAAAGCAGTCTGCAGAGAGAAATAAACGGTCAGACCTTAATGTGCAAGTACAAATAACATTGGGGGCCATACGGCACCAGTTGTAATAGTGTCAGAATCATACAAAGGTTCAATTTATAGTTCGATATTTGATTTCATTCCAGACCCAATACAAATGATTTGATATTTCTGAAGCAGCGGAACAACCATATTCTGCCCAGAGCCTCTTTGCAAGAGGGAATTTAAATGAGGAGAAATTGCAGCAGAAATATAATTTTATGTTCCTTCTTCTTCACAGAGGATTCCTGCTTTATACACATAACCACTATTTATCTTTAGCTTGTGTAATGACTAACCTTGGATTGTACTCTGGGGTACTTACATCTTGTGTTTAGTTTGTCCTTTCACATGTGTGTTTTGGTCCTCCCAACTATTAAATGTAATGAATGGATTCAATGAATCGAACATGTACCATCTGTAGGTTTGTCATTCTTCATTTGTGCTGCAAAATAAGTAATGGGTCCTTGTATAATGTTGAGTCATTATATAGTGTATTATTAGACTGCCACCATTAACAAACCCTATGCATTTACCATATCAGGTTAAATACAGCCAATGAATGTAATAGAGTGACAGGGAGCTATCATACAGTAAGTGACAATGAGAGTACTTTTAAAAATGATGTCAGTGGGGTGCAATGTAGAAATACATTCCAGTTAAATGCAGTCCAATACTGCAACAAGCTCCACATCCACATAGAGCTGAAACATATATGAGTGGTACACGCACCAAGCCACATTATGTTAAATTTAAAAAAAGTCCCAAAGTAAATTAATTCCTGACAGCTGCATTAATTGTGTGGCTCTATGTTAAACTCGCGAACCAATCTAGTCTACCACTGCTGAAAAATATTAACTTTTACCACCTTCAAACTAAAAGGCTAAGGTGTTCAACAGGCTTTTACAAGTGGACGACACATAGCCTTATCCCAGGTCCACAGCATGGCAGGAAATACACATTATTATATTTGTATCCATTTTATTTAAAGATGACATGTAAAACTGTGTCACCATGTACAATGTTGTGCTTTCTTTAGGCATATGCCAAATAAAGGTCAAAAACATGTTTTTGATTACACTGTAAATTCAAATTCCTCCTTCTATTTTCTTGTTTAACTAATGAAACTTTTTTTAACGAGTTGCCTTCCATTCCGGGGTATATACTTAAAATTCAAACCCATCAAATTACATTTAGCTTACAGTGAGAACTGTTAGAAGCTTTTTCAACAACGGGTTTGATTTCAAACAGAGGTAGATAGAATCAGGCCTCTTATATTTAGCAGCAACCGTTCATTTTGCCCTATTGACAACTAGGAGATTTTATCAGCGGTAGCTAGCTAGCTAATTAAGCTATTAGCTCCAAATGTTAGTTGAAAACTTCACCTTCCCTGACTGACTTTTTAAGTCAACTGACTTGTTTAAACATTTTAATCTTGGAAAAGGAGTCTTGAATGTGCACTTGAAGGCTAAATTCACGATATAATGGAAGAATTCGTCTAAAGCTTCATGTCCCAAACAACAGGTCCACATGCTGATGTTGAAAAAGAGGAATAAACATCCACATAGAAGACATAGAAACAAACATTCAGCAGTTCTTAATTGCGCTAGTCCTTGTGCTATAAGTTTGATGAGGAAAAATGTAAGCTTCTGCTTACATTATATGCTTGTTTATATTTTCAGCATGTTTCACTTTTAATATCATAAGTGAAAAGACTTTTAGCATGAGAGCTAACAACCGAGTTTGACATACGTAACACTATCTTTGCTGGTGTTGCAGGAGTGTTAACTTTCCAAACTTCCCTTTCTCCAAAATCTAATAAAGAGAAGGACATTAGTCGGACATGCCATCAATTGCAGCTGATGTCACAGCAGATAAACACACAGTTTACTCCATCCCTCACACTTTTACTCTTGTGTATTGAGTTCTGGAAAGGCATAAAAAAAACACTATCCAAAGTCTTTAAATGTAAAGTATCACTCATTCTTTAGTATATTTTTTTCAATTAACTGTTATTTATGGAGCTTTTTTCCCGTCTTCATTCAAGAGTATGGTTTCTTAAATGTGATAGGAAAAAACGCTCCGTAGTTATTCCAGTCACTGACCTCAGAAAATCAGGCTGCATTTAACTGCCATGATATACTTTACTTATCTTTTCTGGTCATTTTACCAGCTGAGAGCACATAAATGATGTTCATGAATATAAGCAGTTGCAAAAAAAGACCAACTTTTAAGTGTCTCTGGTGCGATGCGTTCATGCACACCTTGCTTTGAATGTCATCAATCTCATGCAGGAACTTGACTGCCAAACTAAACATTTTAGCAGTAAATCGTTTTCAGAGTGTACACAAATAAACTTCTTGGAACTCATTTCAACTGCTGCAATACTGTATATAGACCCACAATGTGTTCTCTCTTTCCCAAGTGCACAACTAAAGGCGTACATGGAGCTATTACAGTTAATTGAAGCTTTTGTAAATGAAGAAAAAGGGACCACTTTCCTCCTATTTTTTTTCGGGAATAATGACAACGGAGGAATTGCTCCGATTCTCCTCTGTCACATTTAATTGCCAAAGCAACAATCTTGATTAGGATCTCAACAGTCCTTTTTCTTATCAGCCCCAGCCAAAGCAACACAGGGTGCTTGTCCAAGCAAGACATATTTACCAACCCTAACTCTCACTTCTGCTAAGTGTAAACAAGTGCACCCTTCACAAAAGACCCTAACATTGAGAGCAACCTTCAAAGGTTGTTCAGTAAGCCATCCATTACATCTAGAAAGAGACATGCCTCTTCTTCTTCTTTAATGTCATCTTTGCAACTCACTTCTCAACTACAAGAGTTAACTCAACACGTGGGTGGTATTCCATTTAGCTTAGTCTACAACCTACCTAGTGATATTAAGGATCACTGATGTATCATTCTGTGTGGGTAGTTTTTTATGCAACTTGAATCCTTTACTTTCAAAATGTCATGAAGTAACGTCCAAGGGCCAGCTTTCTGACCTAAGACGGTGACGTGAGAAGTACAATTTCACGCATGTCGCACTTCACTGAGACGTCCATCTTATGTTCATGTTACCTGAACACTGAGGAACTGATTAAAACCCCCTGCACGCACACTGCAAATATCACCGGAGCTATTCCTACCGCCTTAGCTGTAATCTTAGACATTGTGACCGCATGCTAACTGCCGCTCCATCTATTCATCAAACTCCCACGCAGACACACCAAACACATATGCTGCACGCACAGAGGCTTCAGTCGAGTGACACAGCTATTAGGTTTGTGAGAGGAATGGCTTCTCTACATTTGATTTATTGTTGTTTTCTAATTGGAAACACTGGTAGTAGGATGTGTCTTTTGCAGCGGAGGAGGAAAACGTAACAAAATCATTTTTGCTCCAAAATATCCTTCGACGATCAATAGACGCATCTGCTCCCTTCAGCCATATCACATATCTGTGCCAATGCAGCAGGAGTATTAATACAGAGGACATGCAACTGGTAAAATTAAAAACATACAAGGCTAATCGTTATTTTCATTATCAATATATCTGCCTGTCATTTGATTAATATGTTGATTAGTATGGCCATAAAGTGTCCAATATTATCTTTCAGAGCCTAAAGTGAAATGTTCAAATTACTATGTTTCAAAAATGACTTAAACAATAAATAGATCATGAAAATATTTGCTAATTAATTTTCTGTCAAATGAATAATCAATTAACAAGCTAATAGTTTAATGTGTAAAACCATATCACAACTTTAGATCCATGCACGGTAATTAAATTATATATAAGCTGAAGCATGATAGATGATTCAGTAGTTACTCAAACTGCAGCTGTCAGGGTGGTGGTTTGCTTTTCAGCTGTCAGGGTGGTGGTTTGCTTTCCCCTCTTTTTCTAAACCCAGTGTAGCAACCCAGCCTTCTCATTTCATCCTCAAGGACAAACAGCTATTTGTTCAGTGTTTCAGGGCCTCGAAGATTCAGCACACAGGGTAAGGCAGGCGCTTGGATGACTGTAAGCTTTGATTACGTCTCCACATTGTAACAAAATGGATGCTTCAGTTGACATATTTCCACTGACTTTAGTTTGCAGATGGGCATTCAACAGAAACGAAAACAACATACCGTAAACTGCAACATGTATTGTGCAGTACCTGTCAGTCTTTGGTGTGGGACTATAGAAACATTATCACCTCCCAGTCAAAACACCCTCTAGAATTGTTAACGAGGAGTGAAAAGGAACCTACTACCGGGGCCTTTCTATTGCAGTGTGAAAATGCTCGGCACACAGCACATCCACTTCTCCATTATTCGGCTTGACTTGCCACAAGGCTAAAATAAACATTTTGAGGCCAGGACCCACATTGCCATTATAAGACCTCCGATAAAAAGCATATATAGAAACACATATTTGATCTCAAGCTAGGGTGAACTTAACCAGTTGGATGAGATAGTGGCGAGAGGCTATCACTATATACTGTGAGCCAGGCCTGGTTATTCTGCTTCTTTAATCCCCCTCTCTTGAAGCGATCAGTGTGGAATACAAATCAAGAGGTGACATGTCGAGAAAGGAAAGGATGCTATGAATACCTGCTCCAACACGTGGCTTACTGATGGCTTTTTAAGCATGTTTCATGAGCTACCAAACAGCCGTGTTACACTGCAGCCTCCACTGAGTGTGATTTAACAGACATCATATGGTTCTCTTAGCATGCCCACACAGTTGGCACACTGACCATTACCAGTACCTTCAGGGCAGCCAGTGTGACCTCCAGAGAAGAGAGAGCTCCAGACAAAAGCAACAACCCGCAGCAAAGTGGAGGGCTGTACTGTGGGCTGCATACTGCAGAGAGCCGGAGCACATGAGAGTGCAGAGATAATGGCGATGGCGAGGCTGTGTAAAACGACGAGGAAAAAAAGATTTGCGCCCGTGTTTAACTTTAATATTTACCATGACTAAGGGTG